TGCTTCTTTGTGCACCTCACCTCTGCTGTTGCTCTAGAGGAGCACTGTCTTTTTCTTTTCTTATGCTTTTACTGCAGCTCTTATCTGCTATTTTGTCCCCCCCCCCCGTCCCGGCCCCCACCCCCCCAAAAGGATCCAGAATCTCTTCTCATTCTCCTGGCTCTGACTGCCCCTTATTACAGCCATGACTTTCCCTCTTTAACATTTTCACATTTTTCAACTGTTCAATTCCCTCCAGCCTCAGTGTAGTTTAAGGTGATTTAAGGAAAGAGAGTGAGAAGTTTCTCACTCTCTTTCCTTAAATCACTTGTTTATTTCCCCAAATGACACCTTCATCAGCTCAGATATCACCATTCCCAGTATTGTCCCAGGGATCTGAATTCCCCATGCCTGTGCTTACCCCTTCCCTTACTCCTGCCACTATGACCCTCAGGGCTCCCAACCTATTTTCCAATCACTTTATCTGTTGCCTGCCTGCTTGTCTGGGCCCGATCCTGCTTTCCTCGCTGAACCGTCCCTTCCCATGGGCACAGGCTTTGTCCCACTACCCATTTAGAAAAGAGGGTGGGCTCCTCAACTATCCCCCACCCCTCCTGGTTCCTTTTCTTCATTCCCTTTCTCTCTTGTTGCTCTGGGGTGGTCAGTCTGCCAGGTAGGTAATGACCCTTTCTGACAGAAGGCACAGGTAGTCTGCTATTATTTACTGTGTTAGACTCTATCAGTTCAGTCCAAAAGACCTTAGGCTGCTCGCATTCTCCACCAAATTGGTTACCTGCACAAAATTCTCTGTTACTCACACACTCTAGGGCACCCACCTTTACTCAGTCCCTAGGGCTCAAGGATAACCCTCTACCTAGTGGGGAAGGAGAGCTAATAACTGGTGATATCAAGAAGGCTGAGGTGTTTAATGCCTATTTTCAGTCTTCACTAAAATGGTTAATGGTGACCAGATACTCAACACAATTGATATTAACAACAAGGGGGAAGGAACACAAGCCAAACTAGGGAAAGAACAGGGTAACAAATGTAGACAAGTTAGATGTATTCAAGTTGGCAGGGCCTGATGAAATTCATCCTAGGGTACTTCAGGGACTAGCTGAAGCAATCTCAGAACCGTTAACAGTTATCTTCGAGAACTCCAGGAGGACGGGTGAGGTCCCAGAGGACTGGAGAAGGGCAAACATAGCACCTATCTTTAAAAGGGGGAACAAGGGGACCCAAGGAATTATAGACCAGTCAGCCTAATTTCGATACCTGGAAAGATATTGGAACAAATGATTAAACAATCAGTTTTTCAGCACCTAGAGGATAGTAGGGTTAAGGGATAGCCAGAATGGATTTGTCAAGAGCAAATCATGCCAAACCAAACTAATTTCCTTCTTTGACGGGGTTTCTGGCCTAGTGGTAGGGGGGAAGCTGTAGATGTGATATATCTTGATTTTAGTGAGGCTTTTGACAGAGTCCCACATGACATTCTCATACGCAAACTAGGGAAATATGGTCTAAATGAAATTACTGTAAGGTGGGTGCACAACTGGTTGAAAGACTGTACTCAGAGAGTAGTTATCAATGGTTCGCTGTCAAACTGAGAGGACATGTCTACTGGGGTCCCACAGGGGTCAGTCCTTGGTCTGGTACTAGTCACTATTTTCATTAATGACTTGAATAATGGAGTATGCTTAAAAATGTGTGGATGACACCAAGCTGGGAGGGGTTGCAAGCACTTTGGAAGAGGGGATTAGAATTCAAAACAACTGTGAAAAATTAGATAATTGGTCTGAAATCAACGAGATGAAATTCAATAAAGACACGTGCACATTACTACACTTAGAATGGAAAAATCAAATGCACAACTACAGTATGGGGAAAACTGGCTAGGTGGCTTTGCGACTGCAAAGGATCTGGGGGTTATAGTGGCTCACAAACTGAATATGAATCAACAGCGTGATGCAGTTGTTAAAAAGGCTAATATCATTCTGGGGTATATTAACAAGAGTGTCCTTATAAGACACAGGAGGGAATTGTCCCACTCTACTCGGCACTGGGGAGGTCCCAGCAGGAGTCCTGTGTCCAGTTCTGGGTGCCCCACTTTTGGAATGACGTGGACAAATTGGAGACAGTCCAGAGGAGAGCAACAAAAATTATTAAAGGTCTAGAAAGCCTGATGTATGAGGAAAGGTTACAAAAACTGGGCAGGTTTAGTCTTAAGAAAAGAAGGGTGAGGGGGAACCTGATAGCAGTCTTCAAATATGTGAAGGGCTGTTATAAAGGGGACAGTGATCAATTGTTCTCCATGTCCACTGGAGGTAGGACAGATGTAATGGGCTTAATCTGCAACAAGAAAAATGTAGGTTCAATATTAGGAAAAACTTTCTAACTATAAGAGTAATTAAGCTCTGGAACAGGGTTCAAAGGGAGATTGTGAATCTCCATCACTGGAGGTTTTTAAGAACAGGTTGGATAAAGAATCCACCCCCCTAAGCAACATAGTTACATCAATCTAACCCTCTGTGTAGACAGCTCTATGTCAGGAAAGCTTCTACCGCCTCTTGGGGAAGTGGATTAACTACGCTGACGGGAGAGCTCTCTTCTGGTGGCGTGGAATGTCTTCATTAAAGAGCTATCACGGCACAGCTGCACCAATGCAGCGTTTTAAGTGTAGACGGGCCCTTAGAGTGGCTTAGCTGAAGTTGATTCAGACGGCTAGACCAATCTGGATTAAGCATGTCCACACAGGTGTTGGTGTATGTGCTCCTGCAAGCAGATCAGGCCTTTCGCTGCTGGAGGCTGCTGTATATGTTTTAATACAGCTGGGAGGCAGTGGCTCTGGGAGGTGCTTCACGGACGCGAACTGAGCCCTCGCCTTGGGAGCTCTCCCATTCCCAGTCACTTATTCGGGGCCCTGAGGGCTGCCCCACCCCAGTTCACCAGTTTCATTTTATTTTCCACGGGGGAGCAAAGGGAGCATGTGACAGGCCCAATCCTGTAAGTGCTGCTTGCCCACTGCAGACAACAAGGCTGTTCCCAGGGGAGGTGGATATGCTAGACTGGGCCCCCATGTGCTTTGATGATGGATCCTCCGCAGAGAGCTTGCTTGGGCTCCCATTGGTTCAGGAGTGCAGGATTGGGCCCCTGAAAGGGATTCTAACTACATGGACTGGGAGGGGAGTGCGGTCTAGTGGTTAGCGTGTGGGAGCTCGGAATCAGGACTAGTCCCAGCTCTGGGAAGGGAGTGATGTCTACTGTGTTAGAATGGGGTTAATGAGAACCAGAATTCCTGGCTTCTATTCCCAGCTCTGGGAAGGAGCGGGATCTAGTGGATAGAGCAGAGAGGGCTGGGCTGCAGGTCTCCTAGGTTCTATCCCTGGCTCTGGGAGGGGAGCGGGGAGTTGGGACTCCTGGGTTCTAGCCCATCTTTGTAAGGGGAGAGGGTCCAGTAATTAGAACAGAGAGGGGGCATCCGGATGCTTCCGTTCCCCTTGACTGTTTTTTCATTAGCCAACTAGAGCGTTCATTTGTTTGACCCCATGTGTTTGCCCTGCAGCACTGCGCTCAGCCACCAATTCACAGCCTGGGCACAGGGTGAAGGAATAAACACCTGAAGACACAAATAAAATAAGTGCTGGGGTTGGCAGGTGGGGAGCCGAGCCTGATACCCAATTCCAGGCAAATGAATGCTTCCACCTGCAAGCCCCACCGGTGCAGAGAAGATGTGGCAAAGGCCTGGCCCTGAATGCTGGAGAGCCAGGCTCAGTCCCCTG